ACTAGGTAGTGTTGATTATGGTCCATGCTATGTGATTGGTTCTGCATATTCTTGTGTGGTGTTGATGATGTTAGAAGCCAATCCTGATGTTGTTCATTTCCTACACAGTGCCTATGCCGATCCCAGAGACTCCTACGTTGAAAGGATCTATTGACCAATTTTCTCATTTTCTTAAAGAGAGTCGAGCTATTGGGTGCCCCTCGTTTTTGTGGTTCTTCCCATACTTATCGGTCCAGGTATAATACATCTTCTTCTATTGAGTGCTTTGTGATTCTGGATTGTTTGTAAGTTTTTGTGAAAATCTGGACAAGAGTAGTCCTGCTTTGGTATTTTATCTTGGAGTTTTCGTATGGTCGTCTTTTTTAGACACTCTGTTGACCACTTTACTTTGACATTCGTCCCTTGGATATTGGCTTTCTATTCCTCTTATTTCTCTTTGTATATTTCCTTGTGCACTTAAGAGTATTGAGCCATACCAATGAGATTGGATTTTGTGGATGATTCGAAATTATACAGCTGTATAAGAGGAGTATACAGAGCTTCTGCTTTGTGATTAGAGTTGACCTTTTTGCAGAAAGATCCATATCATACATGCTTGTATATCTGTTTTATACCTTATATGAAACTCTTTCATGTTAATTGATCCTTGGCTTTCTTTATAAATGATATGGTCTTTTCTATGTTGATACATTTATAAATAGCTCACGTGTTTGCATCATATTCATTCTCACTTACCCTTTGGTTTTCATCAATCTGCAGCTCCCATGCTTTTTCTTGTTGATGGCTAGCATCCGGAAGATGTCACTAGATGGTCACCCTGGCTTTGATTCTGTAAGTTGAGACTGCATAAGAATGACTTGTATAGCCACAAAGTTCCATTAAAAACCTGCCACCTTGTCAGATGGTAACTAGCAGCTTCCCTGGTGGTTTTGTTTCTGATCGAATTACTCAATTTTGTATGCCACTGCTCCTTTTTTTCTAATGCTAGTTATGCTGAGTCAACTGGAATACTTTAGTTTTGTTTTAACGAATGGGACAACATCTATCATTATATGCAGAAATTTAAATGGTTAGCACCAGTTTCTTAGGCAATCCAAATATAGAAAAGGAGACCAGGAGAGAAATTAGACTCAGAAGTATGCACGATGAGCGAACTATGTCGTACTTTGCATTGCTTAAGGGAAAAGCAGTTTAGTCTTCTAAGACAGCCTAGCTTTGAATAGTATTGGGTGGATGGACTTCTTAATGTATGTTTATTCATAATCTAAACAGTGTTATCTAGTCTAAAAGTCCATACCAAATTAGAAAACGAGAAAATTTGTGACTGTCTTGATTGTGATAAGGAAAGAATTTTAATTCTTCTTCAGTTCTTTGGGATCAAGTCAAACTCTTCTCTTCCCCTTTCCTCATGGGGGTTTCTTGGTCGAGTTAGCACATCTATCTGGGCATCTACGTTAGGAAGTGGCAATTGATGAATAATGCCAGTCTAGATGGCTGCAATCTGAGTTGGCAAGCATAGGCTAGGTCGACGTTTTAGGATTGACTAGACTTGTTACATTGCTTATATTTTCCTTTTGTACTTTATAGCTGAAGTGTACTTATCTTTAATATGTGAGATGTATGCTCTAACGTTCATTTGTGATTTGTTTTTTATTTGTATAATTAGTTGTTGTTGTTGGACAATTATATTGAAGCTAGACCTTAGTTCTAGTATTAAATTTAACACCTCTGTATTCTGAAAATTGGTGGGCCTCAAGCACATCTGACCTGAATCTGTCCTTTCATATTTCCCGGCTGTTGCTTCTGAGACTGAGCTGGTATCTTATCTTTGCAGGGTGGTGCCTTATGGTTCCAGAATTTGAGTGATCTTCCTGTTGGCTCTTTTGGACCAGTCTTTCCAATTTTAATTGCTGCCTTCCATTACATTAATATACAGGTTTTTTGCGATACTTGGAACTTAAAAATATCTGTTGATGGGAGAAATATTATGCTTGTTACTCTTAGATATTTTTTTTTGCAGTATTGTTACCAATGAGTATTCAAATTGCAGGTGGTAGTATTATATATGTATGCTTCTAACTTCTAATCCTTTTCCAGATTTCTTTTGATACATCCACAATTCGTCAAACTACCGGCTTGACCGGGCTGCTCATGAGAGTGAGTTGAACAAGTCTTATTTACTGTCTTGGTTACTTACGTCTTACAGAATTTTGTTTTGTGTGCTTGGACTATGAAGATATATTGGTATTGTTAGTGATGTTACTCATGTCCACGTTTCCTTTTTGTTATAAATATTATATTTTACGCATCAAGATTCTCAAGATTATACTTGGTTTTTGTGTTTGTAGTATTACAAGTTATATCTGGAGATCTTAGGTGTTCCTCTGTTTTTTGTTGGCTATGCTATTCCACAGGTAGGTGATTTCTCCATTCCTTTCCTCAGCTATTTATTATAATCTATCATTAACCTAGACATCATTCAGCACTTAATCTTGCCTAAATCTTTATCTTTTGGACTTTTGGTTTTCTCTCTACCAATTAGCATTCCGTCTTTGTTCTTGCTTCTTTTTTGGGCCAGTGTGTGCTGTTTATTTATTCATGTTATTATTCTGACACTAATCTTCTTGTTAAGTTTATTCTATCTACGCATTTCTTCATTTTTCTTTTTTTTCCTAGAGATTCTGAATTGTCCTTCATTTTTGCTTCTCGTTTTACTTTTGCGGATTGTTATTGCTATGAAGCCAGAACTAATGCATCTGTTTTTGTAGCACAATCTTTCTTCTGAAACTAGGACTTTTTCGTTTCTTTTTCAGGGAAGTCTTGTCTATTGGGTAACCAACAGCTCAGTTAATATATTTCAGGTATGCGATCTTGTCAGATTTCGGTATTCGCTGTGCAAGATATATTCCTTGTTTTATCTTCCCAGTATTGAGGAATTAGGAATGGTGGTAATTTGCGTTCAATTAAAATAAAGTCGAGAAAATTTAACTTCTTGGTTTTTTTTTCCCTCATGCTTAGATGTTGTTTTCTGGAACTGAAGACCAAACAACAAACTTAAATGTTAAAATAGACAGATAGGATGTTCGCCGTGGCAGAATTGTTGCTACTATGTTGATGAGATGTGTTTTGTGAATTGTGACTGCATTTGTTAAATTTAATAGACTCAAACGTTAAAAGACAGTTGTGTTAGTCCACTGATTTACTTGTTGATTTAAAAAGATTCATAGTGAAAGTGAACTGTACCGGTGGCTCATACAGAATTGACTTTTGGTAGAGGATGTAAAACTGTGTACGTCAATTCCTCACCGAGAGATCTTAATTCTGCAGCAATTATCTCTCAAGCATCCTAGGGTAGGAGCAAAACTTGGTTTACTGACTCAAGGGGCCTCTCCAAGCGTTGAGCATTCCATGGAGATCAGTGAATCCGTGATCAAGTATGTGGATTCTGACTTAAAAGAGCATACCCTTTCTCTACAGACTTTAACACCAGAAGAACTTCTTTCTGTAAGTAGTGGAAAATGAATACCTATTGATCAACATCTACGTGTATGTTTCTTTTTTCTTAAATGGATTTGGTGTCAGCTCTCAGTTCAGGTCTTGTCAAAAGATGATAAAGAAACATCCATTCAGTTGCTTCGGTGCGTTTTTCCAAAGACGTTCCTCCTGGTCCCCTACTATTCTTTACCTTCATGTACTAGCCATGTTCACTGCATGTGTAATTATTCTTTTCAGGTTAGCTCTTGATAAGGATCCTGGATATGTAAGAGGTTTGGTTCTCATGGGGCAGGCTTTGTTGCAGAAGACAGAGTTGTCCGAAGCTACTAAATATTTAGAGCTTGCTATCTCCAAGGTTAGAATTTCCGGTCCATTACTCTTTCCTGTCTTTCTACTTATCACTTATTAGTCCTTTCTGTAATCTTGAGGTCAATTGGTTTCTGGTTCCGGTGGTTTAATATCTATCACTCACTTTTTTTGTACGTTTCACCATACCAACTTATTTTTATCTCCTTGTTCTGCCAACGTATCTAGTTGGTTCTTACTATTGACTGGGTATTAAGATTAAGAGCTTGAGACTCTTTTACTAAGCAGCACAATTCTTTTGTTTCTTTCTTAGCTTCTTGATGAGGATCCATCTGATGCTGAGGATGTTGAACTTTTAATGCTTGCGTCTCAGTGGGCTGGTGCTGCATACGTACAACAGGTTTGACCAATCATCTTTTTTGAAAAAGATAGTTATGAAAGTGTCCTAAATCTGATGTGAATTGTCAGTAATAACTCCTTTGTGCTTAGTTCCAATTTTATCAAAGCTAGATACTATTGTTATTTTTGTTCTGCAAATTTCTGTCACATGACAAAATCGAATTTGTGAATGTTGTCTGCAAATTTCTTCACCGAAAAAATTAATTTGGTGAATGTTGTTTGTATTGACTTTGACTGGTGTTTGGGTGGTGTTGGCATTTGGTGTTGGCATTTGGTGTTTCTGGCAGGGAAAAATGAAAAGCGGAATCACACACTTGGAAAGAGTAGCAAAACTGAAAGAACCCGGTGATCCGAAAAGCAAAGAGCATTACTTTGAGGCATTGCTGCTTCTTTCAAGGTACTACTTTTACAGCAGAACAGTAGTGTCACAAATAGAGAGTTTAGGAAATAGGTAAAGAAGCATATATACTAGAATTGTGAGCAATGTGAAATCAAAAGCTTTTGTTATTGCAGTGCTTTGTACAAAGAAGGGCAGAGTGATGAAGCCGCAAAGATTTTACGAGTAGTAGTAGAGCACAATCCAGCGTACAAGCCTCTGCTAGAACAGTGTGAAGATGAGAATGAGCTGGTTAGCGATCTTGTCAGTCGCAGGAAGGATCATTTCTGATTTTCTCCACCTTTACTTGTGCAACAGTCATTGTAAGTATCTGAATACAACGCTCCTCGCGGAGAGCGTTCATCTTTCAAAAGTTCATAACCTTGTAGGTTAGTAATAGTGTAAATGTATAATCCAATTGATGAATACTAGAAAACATTCAAGACTAATAAAACTAGGACCAAAAGTCGCAATAAAAGTACATACAAAGTTGAGATTTAGTTCACAACACATGTCCTGAATCTAATACACAAAACACACCATCAAACTAGTTTATTCCGATAACAGACATGAGGAAGCGAAGTCTAATAGTAAGATGTGCGATATCATGAGTGTCATGGTTTAAGCTTGAGTGAGGTGGCTCCACCACGCCGGTGAAGACATAGAGAGCCTTTAACTCCTCTGCGCATGTGGCACTACTTGCAACACTGTATCCTACTACCTTCCTCAACGTCTCCATCTTCTCCCATATTTGCTCCTCACTATACACCTGCAAATCCAAAGCCATACATATTTGGACTTTGACACTAGCTTTAAAAAATTGAGCTCAATAAGTTAATCAAAAATCAGTGCCATGTTCTTTGAAGCTATAATAAAAGTTATTTGGATCCCCCACCACATTCAGAGATTTGAGTTAATTTTTACTACATGCCTAACTATGCAATCGACTCTAATAAAACAGCATTGCACTCGAAAAAAACATCATTCCGAGAGCAGGCTTGAGACATCTCCCACCAAAGTTTACTATAACTAATGGCATAAAGAAAGATTAGCAATGAACAAACAGATAATCTGCCCTCAAAACTAAACAACACAACAACATGACATTTTAGAAACCGGTTACCTGCACGCCCGGTTTTCTTCTTTTTCTTAGTTGTGTTTTTTCGTTTCTCTTCCCCGGTTCCTTGTGCCCCACTAGCTTGGTCTATCGGCTGAACCATTAGTCAAGAGATCAGAGAATGATTTTACAATTATTTCAGTCAGTTATCTAGAACCATTGGCACTAGTCAATGAGGGATTGTAACAGAGATGAACAGAAATTACCAAAACCATGTGGGCACTTTTCTAACCTTAACCTTACAGTGAAAATTAATTGTTACTAACCAATGGATCACTCAAGAAGATAATCATGTTAACCATAGAAAAGATAGCAGTAACACAAATGTGTGGCAAGCAACAAATCAATCACCATGTAGAATACATGCAAATTAGAACCTTAGAATGGAATTATTCAATACTTAACTAGAGGCAGGGGATATTCTGTTATGTTATCATTCAGCTACTAACTCAAGAGATGCTAGGATTAAGTATAAACCTCATTCGAAGACGTTTCCTCGTCATCCTTGCCCGTTGAAGTTTCAGTTTTTGTGGCCCCAAGTTCCCCTGCAAAAACGATCAATTTCAGTAAACTATTTCACAATTTTTTTTTATATATAGTGATCATAAACAACCTTCTCGTCCAGTCTCAGGAGCTTCCCGCTTTTCAGGCTGTTCTTGAACCTCCTCTGACTTGGCATTCCCGGACTTTTTATCATCTTGTAATTCTTTCTCAGAGGTTTCTCTGTCAGTTCTACCCTCATCCCTAATTTTCTCTAGCAAGCTCGTTGACTCTTTCGCCATCTCCTCATCTTCCTTAACCTGAATGGGAATGGTTTCTTCCGTACCCATGAAAAGTGCACCCTCACCAACTTCAGCCGCACCTTCACGGTGACCAATCTTGCTGTACTCATCAAATCTAGATTCATCATCATCCTTGTCAACTCCACCTGTTTCTTCAGTATCAGGAAGCAGAGTACTCATGACCTTTTGTGTACAAGCATAATTAGCCAAGAAGAAACAAAAAGGAACCGAGGAGAGGAAGGCGATAGTCGAGGCGACAAAAAGTGAAGGAACAAGAAGTGGAGCTGAAGACACTATAACACCAGCTGTCAGAACCTTCTTCCCAACGCTTACCGCCTTACTCCAAATCCAGCTTCTTTTATCTTCACTCTCATTAGACTGATATTCCTCCATTGTTTGACTCATGGTACTGTCTTCAATTCTGCCAAGAACACCCAGTAAAAAGGGTTTAATCCTAGTTCAAAATTAAAGAAGCCAAAACCAACTGTTTCTATGATTTTTCTCCATAGAATAAAACTGTTACATATTGAACAAACAAGTTTCTGAATCCCAAGTGAATCACTTGCTGGACTCAAAAGATATTTGGAGGAAAAAAGTAACATGCAGACCAAAAAAAACTTGATGCAAGCACATTTAAGAAACACTATTAAACTCCACAGTTTCATATCTTTGAAAAATCAAACAAATCCTGAAAAATGCTTTAAGGGCATTTTATCTTCCACTTAATCAGTGTAAACTGATGAAAACCAAGTAATTTTACATAGGCAAGAACAAGGTCTAGTTAACAAGAAGGAAGAAAAAGAAGAAACCTGTTTAGGTTGCGGCAACTTTTGAAAGCAAAGAACTCATGGGAGATTTCAGTAGCGAGTAAGAGAGAATAAGGACCAGAGACGGAGAGAGAGAGAAAGGCAAAACTTCTGTGTAGACAAGTTGGAGAAGAACACAAAGAAAGACAGAGACACGCGTCGAGGAAACAGAAACTGAAGATTGCATGGTTTTGTGTCGCAACGTGTCTGTTCTTTTCTCTATCCACTTGTTCTCAGTCCTCTGTTTAATGCAGAGTGAGTGAAGAAGATTTGGGTTTTGATCAAAGCTGTGATTTGGCTAAATGATGCGCAAAACAACTGTTCCTTGAGAATAAGCAGGCAGACCTCAAAACAATGTTTTGAGCTTTTTCAGGTTTACCTTTTTTTTTTAGATAAGTTGAGAATTAGTACGTTTTCCCAAAGTTGGGTTTGTTGGAAATATAGTACGTTTACGAAACTTAATTGGGAAAGTTATACAGTTACTATTTATAATTAGGGAAACAGTATATTATTACTATTTGTGTAATAGAATTTGTGTGAGATAGGAGAGATAGTGGGGTAGAGTGTAGAGAATGAAAATTACTAGTAGTGGCTTTGTATTTGTGAGAAAGAGAACGTGGGTCATGTTTTTTTTTTTTTAATTTCTTTTCTTTTCTCTATTATCTCTTATTCCCCCAAAGTCTCATATTAAAAAACTCGTTAGTAAATTTTTTGTTTCTAAAATTTATCAAATACATAAAAATCTATGTTTTTTTCTCTATCATTTGATATGCATTTTGTTTGAAATTTTTTAAAAAATTTATATTATAGACTACTACTGTACACAAAGAATGACTGTACAGATATAGACAACTGTACATGTATAGACAACTGTACAGAAGAATGACTGTACAGAAAAATGACTGTACAGAAGAGTGACTGTACAGATATAAACCACTGTACAGAAGAATAACTGTACAAATATAAACCACTGTACAGAAGAATAACTGTACAGATATAAACCACTGTACAGAAGGATACATCTTTACAGAGAGATGCAGCAGTACAGATAGATGCATATATACAGAGAGATGCATATGTACAGAGAGATAATTATATGTTTAAGTGCACAAATAATTATAAAAGATATAACTATTCTATCTGTACATGTTTCTAGCTGGACGGATATATTTCCTTATATATGTTTAAAACGAATTCATTCTTTTAAGTTTAATAAAATGTCATATATTAGAATTCAAGTGCACCGGTAATACAACTTTATAAATACACAATCTCATAAAATTTTCAATCATCATACTCTTCCAAAACATTACATACTCGTTCGAAATTAACCTGTTTTGCATTTCAATTTCCTTGTACCTAATTAACTACCTCTATTCTAGAAATTATAACAACGTTGCACTATAACTCTAAAAAATAGACACTTCTCTAAAATTTATCTCCTAACATATTTCAAATGAATGTCTACCTTAACAAACACTTTTAACACAAAATTATACTCTTTTAACACAATATTATACTTTCTTACAGTAGATCATTACCCAAAATTCTGAAATTTCTACTTATCATAAAGTCTCAACTATGTTAATAAATAATTTAGATATGAAAACATATAGTATATATTTCATTGTTTGTGATATTTGTTTATTGAAACCGAAAATCATATATATTTGAGTATAGATGCTTTAAGCTTCACTTCTAAGATTAGACCCAAAGAAAAAAAGAAACGAAAATAAATAGAGTTTGTGACCTATAGACTAATGAATAAATGCAAACAGAATAAGTGCCATTAGTGTTAATTACGAACAAAAACAAATCATGGGATTATGAGCAAACTTACGACCGAACCAGCATCGACTCATGGATCGCTAAGGGCAACATCACTTGTCCATTCACACGGGTCGCTCTCTTCGACTTCACTCGCATCCCTAGAAAAGAAATCACTAATATAAGCATGAAAGGAATCAATCACAAGTAATGATTTTGGATTCAATTGATTATACATCCGTAGGAGATCTAGGATTTGAGCATAAAAAGAACAAACCCACATAAATGTGAGTGAAAATGAGAACAGAGAGTGAGTGAGATATGAAAAAGGAGAAACCTTTCTTGATGAAAAGCGAGAGCAGAGTTAGGATCGAGACCAGACTAAGAGAGATAAGTCTCCACATCTTGGATGAATTTGGCGGCAGGAATTCCTCTTCTCTCAGTCAAATCGCTACCACTTTCACTCGGAGAAGAGGAAGACATCTTCAAATTGGATTCCGATTTGGGGATTTAGGATTTTAAAAGCTTTGACTTGGTTTCTCGATTGTTTTCGAATCTATCGACTTTGGGACGAGAGAGTGAACCAGCGAGCGACGGACCAAGAGTCGGAAATACGACGTCCCTGTTACTATCTCCTTTCGTCCCCGTTACCAAATACGTGAGCTTCGGAATCTTCGATATTCTGGATAAGTTCCGATTTGGAGCTAAACAGAAGGATGGATCTGATGGTTTTCGAGAAGTTAGTGTTAAACCCAAAAGGAACAAGAGGAAAACACTGAAGATTGAAATCGCTGGTCGAGAATAAGAACGAGGAGAAGAAATGTGAGATCTTTTCATGATTCGATTTTAATTCCACGAATTCATCATCTAATTTTGGCTCCCGTACTTAGAATTCAAACCCATAGATATTCTTCTCTCTCTCACTATGGTTGTTTGAAATTAGAGGATTTCGTAAAAGAATCAAAATTAAAAACAAATGTGAATTGGAGATATAATTTCCAATTAATTTTTGAACCCAGAATTGTACATTTTTTATTATCTATAAAAGTTACAGATGAAAATGAAGGCTTAGAGAAGAGAGGAATGGATCTGACGAAATGTCTAAAAGAAAAAGAAAAATAATTTATTTTAATTAAAATGGCATAGTTGTAAATAAAATGGTTAGTTGAGGGTTTGGAAGTCACCGAAATAGTAATGTACATTGGCACATGGGAATATTGCCAATTATAAATAGTATATGTACTACTTTTCAAATTAAGTTTGAAAAATGTACTAAATTCCAACTTATCTCTTTTTTTTTCCCGGTTAAAGATTACTTGTGGGTTTTACTAAATAATCATATTTAAGTCAACTTTTGACAGAAAAAAAAAAATTCATATTTAAGTTGTTTTCTGTAAATATTTTTGCCGGAAAAACTCTTTTATCTTAAAATCTATTAATGCAAATTTCTCTCAATCTGTTAAAATATGTCGTGAAAATTAGACGGATTACAGTTACATCAAAACGTAGCATTTTTCATAATTTTTTCTAATCGACTTCGACTTTACACATACTTCAAAGAATTTCACTTTGATAAATTAGAGTTCGTCAATTTTGGTTTTTCACTTTGAAAATTTTAGAGCTTAGGTGAATTTCTTCGGGGTTTATAATTGGCTATTAAAAATATTTTGTTGTTTTTTGTTTACAGTTCGTGTTGTAAAAGTATATATATATGTCGTTTTTCAATTCTGAAAAATTTGGGAATGAAGCATTTTTTGACAAAGTTTATTCAAATGAGACACTTTCAAAGGAAGAGGCTTTTTTCCAACTCTTTTACTGAATTTGTGACCAATTTGCCCTTGAAAAATGAGGAACGAAGAAACCTAGCGTTTAAGTTCTAGCTAAGATCTGATGATCAAGACTATATACACAATTTATTTACCCAAAAAAGGCATAGTACCGCCTCTCTCTATTTTTTCTTACCCTTTTTTCTTTTTTCGAGACGAAGAAGCAGGAGGTTGTTACTCTCCTCTACCAAACTGCCTCTTCCCTTAATCTCCCCTTTATCTCCCTCTTCTTTTGGTTATCTGTTCTTCTCTCTTGTCTTACTATAGTTTTTTTGGTTTCGTTGGTTTTGAATCATAAGGAGTTGGTTTTGTATGGATCAATGGTACATGTTATTCGTTGATGCATTGCATATCTTGAAACTTTTTTTTTTTTTTTGTTATGGGTTCTTAATTTTATCCTTCAGTTTAGATTTATTCTTGTTAGATCTGTTGAATTTAGTGCCTTCATTTTTGAATTGGATGTAACTTGCATAGACGAAGAGTGATTGGACGCATAAAGCTGGGTTTGTGGTGGTTTTGTAAGAAGATTGGTTAATGTTTATGGCTTTTTTTGAAGCTCCGCTCTGTTAGGCTGCGGTGGCCGCTGTGAGCTCTAGTTAGAAGAGGTAGGAAAGACTAAATTAGCCAATTCTGGTATTGAATTTCATATATATTTGTTCAGCTTGTTTGTTATTATTTGATTCTGGTCATGATTCGCGATTTTGCTTGAGATTAAATCGAATATTTAGTGGATGCTCTTACGATTGATAGTCGTGTTGTTTTATGAAATTTTTGAATGATGAATTAAATTTCTTTGAAAACTGCTAGGGAAGCCCAAGTAGCTAAAAAAACATGTTAAGAATGACAGTGAGAAGGAGAAAAATGCAAATTCCATACTTGATACTTAGGTCAGAGTTGATTTCAAAAGCTGAGGAAGCTGATCGGCGACACCGATCTATTAGATCGTCTGCTTAAGTACATGGTAGGTAAGGTGGCTCCAGTGGCGGAGGTACTGAAGAGGGAGGGGGTCAATTTATGATTTTTTGTTTTTTAAGGTAAGTCTGATAATAATTATGGATATTTTGGTTTAATTTTTCCATAATGACCCCATGCCAACAATCAATTCTTTAGTTTGACCCCTCACATGTTTACTTTTTATTTAGCATTAATTCATTTTCCATTTTTTGTTTTATGTTTTTTTTAATGTATGGCTACAAATCTCTAAAATTGTGGTACATACTAATATTTTTTAGACATATTCTATTTTTTTCCTTAGTTTTTTTTCAAAATTGTTCTTAGTCATATTTTATTTAGTTTAAAATAAATGATTTATTATTAATATATAATTAAATAAAAATAATTATTTATATATGACCCCTATAAACTAAAATTCTAGCTCCGCCACTGGGTGGCTCCTGGATGTCAAGATAGGTTTACGAAAAAGACAGAGAAAAATAAATATCCATTTATTCGCCGCTAGATGGATACACCGTCATTTCTTACACTATATCCATTTGTTTGATGTTACATGGATACACCTCCACTCCTAAATGTCATATACGAATGTGTACTTGCGGATTGTCAACCATAGGAATCCGTCTATTACCCTTCGAAGATATGTTCGCCAACTTATGAAGTGTTCTTGTATTTGATTTTGGTGAACAATGTTTAGATTTGGTGTTACTCATCTTTAGTGTTTCTGTTTGTGGAGCTAAAACATTTGAACTTAAGAGCTGTAAAATATATGATCATTCCTATGGTGATATTCATATGATTATATTCAAAAATGGACAATATATTCACACGACCATTTAGCTGTGAACAAATTATATGGTAAGGAACGGACGATCCATGACAATATGTTCAAGATGGATTATCCATTCAATATCACTTTGGTCAAAATATTCATTCTTTTACTTACCCTTATGCTTTGTTTTTAAATTAACTTTATCATGATAACTTGTTCACTTAAATTTGACCATGTGGAGTTATGGTGAAACCTGACAAACACTTGAACACAAATGATTCATGTGTGTAGCTTTCATCAATTGTCTTTTTAATGAAAATGTTATTCTGCGGTTTTGCGGTTTCAAGCGTTATTTTGCGTTTTGACCGACTGATTTGGCGATTGAAAATGTGTGCGTTTGCGGAAGATTTACGACTGGTTGATCAGCGGGTACGATAGAGGTTAAACTAAAATTTATAAAAACAAATATAATTTATAATTGTTAAAAGTATAAAAACACCAAAACTATATTTATGAAAAATTATAAATTTTTGAAACATTACTAAACAAAATATTCAAATATTCAAAATTTTATAGTGAAACTCAAATAATTATTAATATTGGAAAAATTAATGTTAGATAATAATTATTTATTAAAAATATTAACTGTGAATATATAAAGGACTTGATAATATACATTTTAATTTGCTAAGTTTTCTTTTTAGTTTCTTTCCTTTTTTAAACCAACCGCAAACGCTTGCGAGAAGGAGCTTTTGAAATCCGGCGATTTTGAGTGGTCCGAACCGATAATGGAGCGGTTTCTATGATTGGTACCAACTGCAACAAACCGCTAGCAACCGCTAGGTGGGCGATAGCGGGAGAGCCAATCAACACATTAAGACTAAACCCTACCTCTATCTACTAAACTCAAACCGATATTTAACTTTTTTAAAATATACAACACTAAACCCTACCCCTACCTACTAAACTCAAACCGATATCAATTGATGTAGATGTTCCAGTTGTGATAGATGACTTTGCTTTGTACATGTGTTCAACCATATACTAGATTTTAAACCGTAAACCAAAATTCAAAACTATATATAAATCGTAACCATTAAAAAGTGATAATTACCTAGAGATAAAACAAACTCACAGCAAATCAAAGACACAATTGTCCATTGATGAGTATCCAAACAGTCAAGTCCAAATGGTCATCTAATAATTCACATGGTCGTTTCATATCAATACACAAATTTATATATGAAGGATAATCGTCAATACAATTTTTTTTTCGCATAACTAAGAAGCAAAAACAATAATTTTATCAATTGATTGATTTTTCAAAGGGTAAGTGACACTTTATCACACTAAACCCTAAACCGTAAAATCTAAACCCTAAATTTTAACAAATCAAAGATATTTTGTCCATTGATTAGTGTCCAAGCAATCAAGTCTAAATGGTCATATAGTAACTCACATGGTCGTTTCATATCAATAACAAGTTTATACATGAACGATAATAGCCAATTTAGAGTACATTGTTTATTTTTCTTTAACCATGTATTCACTTGTGTATGGACACTTCCATCATTATATAGCATTTCGTCGTTATTTAAGTATGAAGAAGAATCTAAATGTCAATTACTTGGCTTTTACTTATATTTTAAAACTCGTAAAATATGGAGCTACAAGTAAACAGATTTGAAAAACAGGTTCATGTCTTGTACCTATATAAAACAAATAATCAATAAGTTGGCTTCTATTAAGATTTTATAATTCGTAAAACATGGAGCGATAAATGAAAAAAATTGAGAAATGGTTGCATGTCTTCTACGTGTATATAATTTGACTCGTTCTTTAATAAGTCTTACAAAAAATATCCACTAATCCAAAAGATAACAAAAAACGTATATAGTGTATGAGCACTATATCCATCTTTGCAGATGAATTGACAGATTCCGTTGGATGACATCAATAAATAGGCGTCCATCTGACCATCCATGTTTGTTCTCTCATCACGTTGTGCCAAAGATTGACTAAAAGCGAAAGTCTTTGGAAGCAACATAAATATTTCCAAAATCAATCACCAAATAACATAACATCTGTGAATGAAAATTAGTCTAAGATCTAAGCCGAAATCTCCATCAATTATCTTTAATCAATTTCACAGAACCAGAACTAGCAACAAGCTCCATCAATAAGCGAATCAACCATCAAAAAGCTCCTAATCACATAACAAGATTTTCTGAATATATACATCCCAAAAATCATCATGAATCAAAGGATATTTTATTGAAACTGGAAACAGATATGAACTTAGCAACAAACTCCATCAATAAGCGAATTAACCATCAACAAGCTCCTAAACGCATAAGATTAACCAGATTGATTGGTCACGGTTCCTAAAAAACATCTCGAATCCTTTATCAAAAAAACTAAAATACAAGTGAAGAAGAATTAGAGCTAGATCTAGAAATTCTTACCAAGTTGGGCTTGAATTCCTTCATCTTCTGCAGATTTTCAACTTCACCTTAAGCTTCTTCTGTTCCACGTCCTTTGTCTCAAGTTCCTCTTTCTTCTTCCTCAGGATGTCATCTTTCTCATTTAGCAAATCCTTGGTTTTATCCTTCTCGATCTTCATCTTCTCCAACATCGCTTGCATCTCCATCAAGTCTTTCTCAAACGACTTCGCTTCTTTCCCCTTGCCTGAGACCAGCGACAACAATGGTGACTCGACGATCTCATGCTTCTGCTTCTTTCCTCTAGGGTTTCTGTTGATTCGGTAAGGTTGAGAGGTTTTTCATTGTAGACTCGCCCATAAGAGAGAAGAAGATGTAGAATCAATCTGGGAGAGAAGCTTTGGTTCGCAACGAATGATTGATTGTGAAATCTCGTTTAAAAAATGATTTTTTTTGGATAACAAACTTAGGGTCTAAATGGTAACTGAGGAATCTGGCTGAATTGCTGAATCTAGCTGAATATATTTGTGTTTTTCTACGAAATCTGGCTGAATAATTTAAACTTCAAATGGTAACTGCTGAAGGCTAAATTTTTTTAATAATTAATCAAATAAACTTCTAAAATTATTAATTAGAAAATTGTTTCACTAAAACCGACGAAATAACCGAATGGATCTTAAATTTCATTATCGAAAGAACCAGAACCAAAATATTTTGGATACTTAAATGAAACTGAAATATAATTATATATCCAAAATATTAGTTAGTTTTATACAAACTAATAAAATAAATTTCCAAATAATAAAACCCGAACCAGAATCAAATGGACACGAACCATAATAACCAAAAAAACTAAAAAATATTTGAAAAGTTTTTGGTTTCTAATCCGTTCTTGATTCCAAAATACCCGAAACCGAACCGAACATAAACCGAAATTTTAAAATTACCGAATGGATACTAAGCTCGAGAACCAAAATATCCGAAACCAAAAATTAAAGAATCAAAACTGAAATAAAGACCGAACATCCAAGACTATCCGCTATTATCCTTAATGAAATCATAATATTAAAAAAATATTAAATCTATTAATTCTTTAAAAATCCACAAAAAAATTATTAGTTCCAAAAACCAAACTTCAAAATACATTATTCAAAAATACATATCAAAATTCACAAATGAAATGCATCTGTTGAAGGTTTGATTAATTCAATAAAGAAAAGAATAATGTGGGACTATTATGACAGAACGCCAAAAAGTCTACAAGAATTCCACATACACAAATGATGTAACATTTCTATCTTCCACAAGAATTCCTCAACAAATCCACATAAACATGTTACCATTTACAGCCTTAATCCCACAAAATATTTGTGTTCAGAGAGGCATTTGGAAAACCATACTCGAATGATTAATCAAATACAATAAGACTTTTATAAATAAATACTCGATAAATTAATAAATTCTTTCGGTTCCGAGTTGGAACAATGTAAAGAATGACACAAATCGATAAAATAATAAGATAATAACTTTTTTGAAAATCCTATGTAAATATATGATCCCATCAATATCATAAATTAATAATTATATAAACTCGCCCAAGACTCGCCAAAAAAAAATGCATGTTCTGAATATAGATATCTCAGTATTGTAGTAAAATCCAGCCATAACAAACACGAATGAAGACTTGGGCTTTGTCTTCTTTATACAAACGCCATTCTCGAATCGCCAAGGGTATATCTACAATATGCCAAAAGCTATGATTGAGAATGCATGCAGCATTATGCGTTATTAATTTATATTCAAAAAGTGAACATCTATTATTGATTCCTTGTCGCCAGTGTCATAATATTGTTTCTAATTGCACAAAATTTGTTAACGTTCGAGTATGATCAATGAAATTTTCTAGAATGAATTTTTCCGTAGAGGTTTGTCATTTTCTAAAAATTTTGAGGGGATGGTGGTCAAAACCTTTTCTTCAATAGTTTCGAGAGCATAAGCATATAACACCAAAAAGAAAACTGACCGACGGAGATACGATAGGAGGGTTTGGTTGTGAAGGGGAAGGGGGAGGCCAAATCCGAGGCCAACATGTGGATTCATGATCGTCGTTGCTAGTAGAAAACAAAACAAACATACAAAATATTCAATTAAAAAAATAGTCATTTCACGACTCATAAACCTATGGTGTCAAATTTAACTATTAATCATTAATTATCACCGCAACCATCAATCTATATATATATATATATATATATAATGAGAGAGTTTTCTCTCCTCTTAAGATATTCATATCATCATGTTAAACATCCAATTATACAAAGTCATGTCATCAGTCATTTTTTATTTACCTTAAAGTCTAATTATAGTGTCCCATTAAAGGCCCAAGTGACATAACAAATGAGAAAAAGGGTTTGTTATTGTATGTATTCGTGAATATATATGTGTATAACTCCCTCTTTGTGAAACCACACGCCGCTGCGAAGTTATTAATGCCGTGGTATTAATATTGTTGTTACTGTGAACCTCGTGGAGGAGTAGTGAGGTTTACGTACAAAAGAAAGAAAAAAAAAGTTGGGGGAGGGGAACTGCTACCAATTAGCAATACAAAGTCTGAAACATTTTATGTTTGTGAATATATGTATATATATAGCCAAAGATAAAGAAAAGTCTTGTGTTTGCTGTGTTTGTTCATTTAATTCATATTTATTTATAGAGCCCTTATTTATATTGACGTTAATTATAATTAATATAAATTTTAATTAAATAAAAATAAATTAAATCAAATAAATGAAATTTTAATATATAGTAATAATAATACTATAAAAATTTTACTAGTAATAATATATATATATATATATATATAATATGAGTATTTTTTCTTATCTTAAAATCTCCACATCATATGTTAAAAATCCAATTAAACAAAGTCATGTCATCAATACTTTCTATTTTCTTACGTGAAAGTTTAATTACAATGTTCATTTAATTCATATTTCTTTATATTGATGTTAAGTATAATTAATAGAAATTCTAATTAAATAAGAAAAATTAACAATTGTTTTTTTAATATAGTAAAAATAAGGTTAGATCGTCGTTCTCAATCATAGCGTTTGGCACATAGTGGATATACCTTTGGCGATGCGAGAATTGCGTCCGCATAAAAAAATACAAAATCCAAGTCTTCATTCGTGTTTGTTATAACATATTTATTTATATCTCGTTATAACATATTTATTTATATTATAGTTTATAATTATTATTAAGTAACGGTATACCACGAGTCCACGAGACAATTATTAATAAATTGAGGATTTAACCCGTATTAAAGCGGTATATAAATATTGATTCAAATTCGTCCACCATATAAATCATTTCAGAATTATAACTCGTTCCGTAATTTCTTAACCCGTCCCGTGATTTGTTTTTATTTTAAAATTTAATGATTATTTATTATATATAAAAGTTTAAAAATCATATCATTCTCTAAGACATTTATATTTTACTAAACTGAAGATTTAATATGTATTAAAGCAGTATGTTAATGATATTTTAAAATTTTATAAATATTTTTATTAAGTAACATTATACCATAGGACAATTTTTGGTTTTATACAATCTTTTCTAAATGAGACTGATTTAATATGTCTAATATTGGTGGTATCAAAACAAAAAAAGATTTAATCCATATTGAAGAAGCGGATTAATGATATTTTAATCTTTTTCTTATTGTTGATTCAAAAACCCGTCACGCCAAACCCGTCCGGCCAAAAAACTCATTTATTTTATTAATGTTGATCTTATTTATGATATGATTCTGAATCATTGTCTAAATATTTTAATCGATGTAGAACGTTAAACACACATTTTCGTCAATTGGATAATATATGTCCGTTTTTTAAATTTCGAATCACAGTATATGTAGAAAAAAAAAATTGATTTTTTTTTTTTACTTTATATATTATATGATGATCCAAAACAGTTAAAAACAAATCAAACAAAGATGATGGGAGAATCATAATTCTAAATCTTAATCAAATCTTCTAAATATCTAAATTATTAAATATGAAATATCCGGTGTATGAGTTGGGTTATTAAATTATTAAATTATTAAATTATTTTTATGAAGGAATTTAAAAAACGGGTCGGATATCCGATTAACCCAGAAGTATTTTTACCCACCCGTCACCAAAGTGTTGCAAAAATACTAGTATAGATTGAGAGATCTATATTCTAAACATGCTTCCAATCAACTTACACTACAACACCAAAAAATATAAAAGGCTTGATATTGTTCGAGTCTAATAAGAAGTAGATTTGTAGAAAAGTTTTAAAATAACCATTTAAATTACCAAAATATTACCAGATTAAAATCTCATCAAACAAAACTCTAAATTTTTCAACACATCCTACAAATCCTTTATTCTTATTTTCTCCTACTTCTCTCCCTTCTTCTTCTTTTCGTCAACTTCATCAAAGATATCCCAATGCTTTTTTGAGACAATCGGCGGTTCTTTTTCCTCGTTAACTTTCTCTCTTATATGTTGTGTCTTTATCGGTTTTGAGTCTTTGTTTTCTTTCCTAGATCATATCTTTTAAAGAGTCAAAGCATGTTTTTAGAGTCTTTCAATCCTTTATCGAGTCTGTACATGTTTCAGGAAGCTATGCTGGAGTTGGAGGCTTTTAGTATCAAAAACGGGCGTTAGGAGATGAAATAGAAATATAATGATTCAAGACAAATCTGACGGAAAATGGCATCAGACAAATCTCATTAGACAACTGCATGATGCACAGTTCCAGTTTCCTGCCCAAATCTGCTGGAAAATGGTATCAGGCAAATCTCATCAGGCAACAGCCTGATGCACAGTTATGGGTTCCAGCCCAAACATCTGCTGGAAAATAGCATCAGGCAAATCTCATCGGGCAACTGTCTGATGCCCACTTCAGGTTTTCTTTAACCGAATCTATCTTCTATTTTTTGTAATTGGGAAAACCTAGAGACCTAATTTTTTCACAACACGTTTTCTTTCTGCAACTTTTGAGAGTTCTCTCTTTTCAGCTTTTTGGAATTCTAGAGATTCATCCTTCTTGACAATTATTTCTAAACATTTATCTCATTTATTCAAATGAACTCTGTTTTCTTTCAAATCTATTTAGTTTGTCTTTTTTCTGTTGCAATGAGTGAGTAGTTCTCTTAATTGGGTTTTAGGGTTCTAAGTAGAAAGTCAATAGATTAGTGAATAGATTGTCATAGGGAATTCTCTATCATTAGATTCTTATATTTACATGTTCTTAATGCTAGAATATGATTGATCACCCTGTTGTAGGTTCTAGATTTTTCTATACATCAAAAGTGTTCGATAGAATGTCTGAATGAATGTATATTGAGCAATGGGTTTCTAGCCAACGAAAGTAGACGTTAGAA